TTAGCATATAATTAAGAATAAAAGATAGCAATAATAACCTATTAATTTACTCAAAGTTACCTCTTTTAACCCCCAAGTAATTAGACTTATTAACATAAACCCACTAACTTTATAATTAAAGTAGGAATAGTCTAAAACGTCCCTTAAAACGTGTAAAGAAATCCGACCCAGACTGGGATTACGCAACCTGTGACGGCCCGTCGTGCCTGCGACGGTCCGTCCTGCAAGTCGTCGCAAGGTTCAGAGACTCAATTTCCACCAAAGAGTCTGTGACGGTCCGTCACGCCCGTGACGGTCTGTCACGCCCGTGACGGTCCGTCCTGCCATTCCGTTACGAAGTTCAGAGAGTCGATTTTCAGTACCCAATTTCAGAATTTCTAAGTGTTTTGAAACGAGACCCCTCGACGGTCCGTCGTGCTCATGACGATCCGTCGTGGGTTCCGTCGTCTCAGCCTGTTTTTCCAGAAATAAAATCTGTTGCTCAAAATGACTAAACAGGTCGTTACAGATCCCTATCCTCTCTCAAATACAATATCCCTCCCATTAAATAATGTGTCATTTGCACTGTATTAGAAAACTAAAAACTGTATCCGAACACAATAAAAAAGTCAAGATTTTTGTCTTCCAAAAAACTTATGATGGGATGTAATTAGCCCAAGTGTATAAAATTTTTGTACTTTATACAATTATATATGTGATCCTCTAATTTTATAAAGGAAAAAAAAAAGATTATTTTACATAGGCCTAAGACAAATTTAAACCATTTCCCACATATATAATAAGGAAGAAGAAAATAAAGAAATTAAACTCCTTGTTTCCGGTAGACAGTAATGGTAGCATTATTTTGTACTCGAGATAATTTTAGAGAAGATGAAATCTTATTAATGTAAAGATAAGAGTATATATGCAAATTAAAGAAAAATCCAATAAAGTAAATATATAGGTGACAAAATTAAACCCAACCTATTTAAATGGTCCAATATGTTTAAAATTGGTGGGCTAATAATAACTCACTCAATCAATTTTAATCCATTCATTTTAATCCACAAAAAATTATTGAATAATTTTCACATATAGTAAACATAAAATTATTTTTATATGTTATATCTATAGTTTGTATGATTGCGTTTTATAGCAAACATAAATATATATATTTTGATATACATATAAAAAAACAGTTGTATATGATATACATATATAATAGATCAATTGTATAATCTCTGTTTGTATAAAGCGAGAAAGAGAGACAAAAGAAAACTGGGCAGGGGAAGATTGTATTTTTATAATCATAAGTGTATAGGACGAAATATATGCATTTGTATATATAATTTTCTCTCATTTTATACAAACACAAACGCAATGTATACATTTTGTGTTTGTATGAGGTGAGAGAGGCGAACGAGACCTGAGAGAGTCGCGAGCGCGATTTGGGAGAGAGAAAATATGTAACAAAAATATATGAATATACACAATTTTCTCTCGCTTTTTACAAACACAAACACATCTTATACATTTGTGTTTGTATAAAAGCGAGAGAGACGAGGGAGAGAGCGAGAGTGAAAAGTGAGATTCATCACGAGAGAGGCTTTATCAACAATTTGCTATGTGGTACAAATAAATCAAGCTATGTTTATAACAATTATTTTGAATTAATAGTTTGCTATTATATACAATTTATTAAAATTATATAATCTGAATTAGCTCATGAAAAATCTTTTCGAATCATTTTTCTCCTTCAAATTTCATAGATTGTGTTTAGCACTAATAAAGAAAAAAATAATTTTATTAAATACTAAAATAATTCAAAAAAAGAAATAAAATAATTATGTTTAATAAAAGTTGTGTTGAGTTTTGATCCATAATATAATGCAAACAAATTAGGTTGGACTGTATTATCAACCCGTGGAAATTTGACGCAACCCAATAAAAAAAAAGCTAGATAATTAATTTTCTATTTTAAAAATAAAACAAAGTCACAAAAGTTTACTTTTAGAATCCCCAAATCACCCCCGGCAATCCCTAACTCCTTCCTCACTGATCCCGTTTCTCTACGGTCGCCGCGATTCATATTTTCCGGCCAGTGAACTTCACAATTTTTCTCCGACCACCGACGTATACTCCGCCGTCTCCGTCTCCATTGGTATGTATATTTTTTGGTACTATTGCGTATTTTGATCGGAAAATTGAGTGTTTTACATGTGCTGTTCTTGTTTAATTTAGTGTTGTTTTTCATGTATATATGGAGTAGTGAATACTCCTAAATTGTCAGTTAATAATTGGATAATCAAATTTCAGTAACAGGAATGCAAAAACCTAATAGTATCTCTTTTTCTACAATAATATTTTCAGAAAGTAGTATAAGCTTTTATTCCAATAAACTTTAATTTTTAAGTTCATTTTGTGAACAGCTATTTAGTATATGAAGTTAAGAAACATAGGTAACTATGGTTCAGAAATCTATGCTGCTCCGACTATCTAAAAACGATGTTGCACTTAGTGTCGGAGTCAGGATTTTCAATAAGGGGTTTCAAAATTCGTAGAAATAGGCACGCGGAATAGCCGAAGAGGGTTCAACATCTACTATATATACATAAAATATTATTTTAACCATGTCTAAATAGTATAAATTTCTGTCGAAGGGAGTTCTCCTAAAATGCACTAATTTTGAATAAGCTGATAGGCATGTTGATATTTTCAAAGAGTACAAGTAGCATAGCTTGAAATTTAATCACAACTCGCTGTTTAGGAGTTGCTCAAAATCAAATGTTTGAACTAGGCACAAAGACATTTTACTTGTTAATTGAATTTTGTTTTTTTCCCCCTTAAAATCCTACGATTGTTACTTGTTAGATGCAACTTAAAGAAGAAAAATGCTGATAAAAGTGATCATATAAAATAGTGAAGACTAGAAGTTCTTTTTGCATCATTTACCAATTGAAATGTATGTGGTAAAGGTAGAAATGCCAGTGAAACTTTCCAAATCTATTGAAGCATATAGAGTTTTTAATATAATTGCAGTTACAGCCCACTGATTTAGAATTTTGGAAATATCTATTACAGCCTGTGGATTTTGAAGCACAAGAGAAGAAGGGCCCTGGATTGACCATTCCAACAAGTTGTCCACATAGCTTTCTGGGTTGCGAACTATAATTGAGACATAAGGAAGCGTCTGCACTAGGCAGACTCCATATGGGGATGATCTTTTACTAGTCAAGTCGAGGAATGAATGCCTGTTAAGGACTTGATTAGCTGATCTGCCATAGTAGGGTTCCATCCTCAAGCTATTATCAGCTTGGGAAAGGACGAATTCGCTTCATTTTGAAGTAGGCGCGCTATGGAATTGAATGCTAGTGTGTCCACAAAAAGGACAATGAACCCTAGGAAGACAGATATTGGAGGTAAACCCTTCATACTCATCATTTGTGGCAGCCTCGTTTACTACCACTGTGCCTATCGGAATTCTAGTCTTGTCTCTCTCATCTCAGACGTCTTTATTGTACTCCTTTGTTCCCTTGCCATTCTCGGACTCCTCTTTCGCCAGATGAACATCTCGGTACCTGTGGATCCGCTTGAGTGGCAGATCTCTCAGGACGCTGCCAACATGTTTTTTGCCTGCCTCGCCAATACCGTTGGTGCTGCTGAGTCTGTTCTACGTGTTGCTTCTACTGGCCATGATAAGCGCTTGTTCCTTAAGGTTGTGGCTGCTCTGTATGTTCTATCATCTCTGGGAAGGATAGCTTCGGGTGTTACCATTGCGTATGCTGGTCTCTGCTTTCTTTGCCTTTATATGCTCGCTGAGAACTTGCAATTGATTAGCTCGAGGTATCCTAGGAGAAGAGACAGCACAGACACAGTTCAGGACGACTAAATTGATTTGATCTGGTTCAAAAGGGATGAAGGAAGGAGTCAATGCATTATTTACAGCTCTTGCTTCTAGTTATGCCAGGTTCATCGCGTGTTATTTGCCTTATTAACGTGATTTCTCTTTCCATTCATGTCTGCAGCCTTGTGATTTCCTTACATGTCCCTGTAATATATTCCCAGTCCCATGATCATTGTTTCCCTATTTAACATGGATACATGATATAAGTTGTTAGCTCACTGTTAAAAAATGAAAAGAAAAGAATACACTTGTGATGTGAATTGAAAGATAAGTATTTTTTCTAAATTAAAGCAAGTGTACTTTATTATGACACATACAAGTTTGGGATTTACAATCTCTCTGGATATTTTGGATTTCAATGGCCAAAAAGGCAAAACCACAAGAATGAAACTAAAGAATATAAGGATGACTTTGCATATTAGATATGCTTCAAAGAGGAAAGAAGAATCTTGATTTCCAATAACATTGGTCCATACTTTTGGGTTTGTAGGAGAATCCTAGCCAACTGTTGAAAGGTGTCAAATTTTGCTAAAGTATGATACAGAGTCATTAGAGAATCATATTTGAAGATTGTTACTTGAACTAGGGGTGTCAAAATGAGCGCAAATATGGGTAACCTGCCCAATTTGTCCAGAATTTTATGGGCAGTACTTAAAATAATTTGAGTTAGGTTCAATCTCAATCTCAATCATTGCATTAATGTAATGTATGTTCTCATATTTAAGATATGAATTACTATCTATTTTATATCTTCTACTATTTATCTATCCATTTGTAACTTGTTTTTGTTATTTTTTGAATTCCAATTCAAATTGGTTATAAAAGTTAAATAATAGTAATAATAATATGTTAAAATTATTGTTGTTAAGCAGGTAAAATTAGGCGAGTCATGACCCATCTCGATTTTAACTCATTTGAGTCCAACCCATCTGTGCCAAAAGTAAACCTGGACAGGTCATGATCCAACCCGATTTCTATTTCAACATATTTTATTATGGAAAAATTACCAAATCCACAACTTAAGTTTTCTCACTCTCTCGTAATTTTTTTGCTTTCGGTATTAGATTTTTTTATCAAAATTGTTTTAATTTTTGTTGTTTATTTTAAATATCTGATACATTTGAATTCTCGTCCATCGTTTAGTATTGGTCATATACCCATACTAATCCCTATTTTCTAACCCTCATTAATGGTCTATGAACAAATACATGAAATCATTGTTATTGTTGGCTGACTTGTGCATCCTTGCACATGAGTTTGGGATACACAATATTTAACATATATATCTAGGCATCTTTCTATATCCATCTGTTGTTTTACTCCGTAACATCTCTATTGCACGGTCTTTAGCACGTCATGCTTTTTGGTACGTAATATCAACTCCGTAGGCAGCTTTAAAATCGTCAATTATGTCATTTGGAGTGTGAATTCTCTTATGATTAACCAATTTCTAGGCAGTGACACCACTAACAAAGGGTAAGAGATAGACTGGTCTATAAAAAGGTACCTTCTGGAACTAGAAGAAGGAATGTAGGAGTTAGTCTTCAAAGCTATCCGGCATATGGGAAGTCATGCTCATTGGCTTGTGGCAGGGGTAACAATTATTCTATATTGCTGGGATAAATAGCCCCTTTCCCAACTCGAACTTTGTTTATCTGATGCTTGGCTTTAAAACTTTGTTGAATATCCTTTCTTTCAATGGACATGTATGTACACCATTGAAATACCTCACTCTGAATACAACAGAGCTTTTTCCTAAAAGATGCTTATATAGTCCAAACACAGTCTTCTAAGTAATATTTTAAGACATAGTTACAGAATTTGTTTACCACAATATATATCAAATTTAACAAACTTCAAATTTTATTATATGTATCAGATATATATTAACACCACAGTGTAATGTATCATTGACAAAAAAGACTAACTAACTACTTAAGACAATTACATGTATAATGTATGTATCGATCACAAGCCAAACATCGCAACAACAACATGTTAAATGTATCAAGTAAAAATACAATACTTATCAATTAAAACAAGATAATAATGTATCATGATTGATCTATCAATTATACCTATTGTTTTCTTTGTTTCAATTATTGTAGTATTCATTATTGCTACTATTCTTTTCATCATTTTTTTTTCCGCTTGACATCTTCACTGTTGTATTTTCTTTTCATATCCTTTTTGATATGCTTTACTCGAGTTGAGAGTCCCGCAGAAACTCTGCCCTCCCTAAACTTCTTCACAATTCTTTTTCATATTAGAGAGTGCAACTTGGTGGGCAGTGGCAAAGTTAAACATCTAGTGAGAGTATAGATAAACCAAGAATATAAGATACAAATAAGAAGAGATGATTTTCAAAGGCTGGCAGTTAGCCTAATAGAGTTGATAAACTGACCCCTTTGTTTGATCATGAAAAGTATGACAAGATACAAATAGGGACCATATATGATAATGTCATTGCATTAAAGTATATGTGATGCATTATTTGTCAAAAAAAAAAAAAAGAAAGAAAGAAGAGGTGCCTTCCAAAGTAAATTCAAATGATGATATATTCTCTTGGCACCATTGAAAAAGATGAAGAGCATTCTCTATCTAGCCAAGTCAACATAGTGCCAATACACACACACAAATATTCACTCATTAATTTCCATGAAATTAATGGCCAACCTCTTCTGCATGATTCTCCCCTCTCCTCTTTGCCTTTGCCTCTCATCATGGTCCCCATGATAAATTAATGAATTCAACAACAAAAAACATAAATGTATATATATATATATACACATAATATATGAGTAGTCATAAATTATATCCAGTGTAATTCCACCAGTCTTACTCCTATCTTGTAAATATAGAGACATTGTGTTTAGCAGACTTAAATTAAAACGAGAGAAAAATTGATAAAGAAGTCCTAATAGCCCCTCTAGCATTTGAATATTTACTTGAAAGCTAAGCCACAAATCCTTTGCCTTACCACTCGGCTATGTCACCGTGTATTTAAGAGTGAATATTACTTAGTGTTTAATAGGACTTTATAATTTTCGATACATAACATTAGAATTCTAACTATACAATAATAAAGTATAAAATGAATTAAAAAAAAGAAAAACAAAAATGGTAAATAAAAAAGGACACACCTAATAAATTGACAAATATCTTGTCCATAAATAAAACTTTTGAAACTGATAGAATATATCAAAGATCATCCCCCTTTTGTGTTTAATCATATTACATTTCATAAATCTACTATCAATAATGTAACAAATTCTTAATAATTTATACATTAATTGCAAATAAAAAAATATTAAATTACTACGAATTTGTTATGATAGATAATTAAACTAAACATATTAGTAATTATCAAATTTTAGATTTATTGAATGTAATATATAGTCTTTAATACACATGTGGGGTGATATTCCCTTGATATATCATTTATAGACGGGATATTTGGTCAATTCATGCATTTTTTTTAAAATTTAGTTCATCGAGTAATATTGAAATATTTTTATATGAGTTTCAGTCATGAAATTAGTTATCAATACTTACGTTAGAGTAAACTTGCTAAATTACATCCCCTTAATTAGGGATATTTGGTCAATTCATTGTATGCATTCTTTTTTAAATTTAGTTCATCGAGTAATATTGAAATATCTTTATATGAGTTTCGGTCATGAAATTAGTTATCAATACTTACGTTAGAGTAAACTTGTTAAATTACATCCCCTTGATTAGGGATACAATCATACAATACCTTTCTGGATCTGATATATGAACGCGAATTATTTTGTGCATTTTCTTAAAAATATTTTTAAAAACAATACTTTGATTAGTATGAGTGCCAAAGTTCATATAGTATTGATCTGTATTTTTTTATTTTGACGATATGATGTTAAGAAAAGGTTATTAACTTTAATGCACTAGTAACTCCTACATAATCATGGACGAACAGGCTTCTAGTTGAAATAAATAGTTTAATTATTTTCATATAGTAAGTAATTATTTATATTAGTTTTTATCATTATTATATGTTTTTAGACCAAAATATTTTCATTTTTTTTAAAAAGCAGATAATTATTTTGGCAAATATAATTGCATTTCTTTTTTCCAATATGTTGGTTCCCTGAAGTATACTTAATTAAAGATTGACCCCACTTATCTGAAGAAAAAGCACATATTCCCCCTTCTAGTATTCCTAATTTTTAACTTTTACCATTTGGAATAACATTTTTTATATATATAAAAAAAGCATTTAAAAGTTATTTTGATGTGATGTGTAGTGCACAATATGTTTTATTTTTATAATCGTAATATTTGTGTCTGCTTGCATATATATATTTATCAATTCGATGAAGTTTATTATCCCTTATCAATACATTTTGCGAAGCGAATTACGAATATTTTTTTTGTGTGAAATTTGAATTCAAAATCACATTATTCACAACTCACTTTATTAATAGTTAGACCTTAAGTTGTATTTTTCTCTATCAGAATAAAAAATGATACGTTAAAATTATAATCATTAGGTCATATTCTTTTTTCGAATATATTGATATTGGCTTTATACCAAAGAGCCTTATTTATGTCTAAGCATAATTAATAAGTTCTCTTCTTTTGCACATAATTTTTCAATTTTTTTTCCTGATAAATCATGTCATAAAATCTGATGGAGATATGATATTTGATTCAATTCTTAGTGTTGTGTTGATGATTTTGTCTTTTCAGAGTAGTCAGTCCCCATTAATTTCCTTTTATTGAATTTCTGTTTTAAATATATCCCCTGGTAATAATATTAAATATAGAGAGTACTGATGTGTACCAAACAAAAAAGATTGGGAAAGTTATTGCAAAGTTTCTATTTCCTAATAAGGACATGGATTCTACTAGTTTTCAAAAAGATCCTTTAAATATGATTTTTTTTTAACAAAAAAAAAATCATTTTCTTATGTAAAGGTTCTTCTCTGCTTGAAGTAACTATATAAGCATTGACATAATGGTAAATTTGATCCTATATTTATTTCAGTGTCTCACATCAATGTGGAATCTAGCAAAAATGTGATTCGATTTTGAACGATCCTCGTCTTTTGAGTTGAGCAAAATATTCATTCTATTCACCTATAACTGTGCGATATATAAATTCTTTAGAAATTGAAATCATAATCAGGCATAATTTCAAAGATATTATGGTAGAAAAATATAAACTTATACCTTGTCAAGAAATTACTCTTTATTAGATATAAGTTGAAAAGAACAATACAAAACAAAAACAAAAGTGCAAATGACTCTTGTATAATATATCAAAGTTAAACACATTTTAATTGACAATATATCAAAGTTAAATACATTTTAATTCATTGTTTATCTGACGTGGATCGCTCTCATCTTCTTTATTTATCACAAAAATATCGAAAATCACAAAATCAAATCAAGTAAGGGAGTGGTGTGATATCGAAATTCATTTATCTTTAAATAGAACACTTCACATTCGAATTATAAAAATAGAAAACTTTAATTGCATTTGCGCACCGCAAATTTAGATTAATCAAAATCAATTAGAAATTTGAATGGCAATGCACTACACCCCACATGTATACACACAAGTAATGTCTAATTTATGCATAGTGTAGCTCCTTTCTTGTGACAGCCATTATTCCTTATATATATGTATATAAATCATCACACAAAAAAGTACTTTCACATATTGTTTGGTTCATATATTATTAAACACCTCCACCTTCTTCTCCTGACATTTTCATTTATTAAATATCTACCCCCACCCCCCACCCCACACACAACAAATAATACACACCTTTTTTTTTCATAATAAATATACATCCTTATATATAACAAAGTCTGACAAGTTCATTTAACATAATACATGAGTGTACACATTGTCCCAATTATTTCTCAAATTTTTTTCTCTTATTGCTAATTCCTAAGTAAATCAGAAAAAAAAGATTATTTTCACAAAGGAAAGAGAAGTTTTATTGGTTTTTATATGTAAGGAAATGTAATTATTTTGGATGAAGTTGATAAAAATCACTTCTTGTTATTTAAGTATTAGCCAACGTTTCAAAATTATGGAGTTTGAAACGTTACATGTATAATTTTAGAATAGTAAATATTAGCCAATGATTCGAAAATAGATGATCGGGAATACTTTTGAATTCCGATCATCTTGTACGTATCTCGATTAATTTTATGAATCATGATATATTTTTCAACTTCCACTATCTACATGTGTAAGGTAATATCGTCCAGTAAAACTAAAATAGATGAGAAAAAATTACCGAAGTATTTTAGTTTCTACTCAAATTTAAAATTTGAGACCTCATTGTTAACCTAATAATGCTTTTCTTTTTCATGACAAAAAAGATATAGTCTTAGCAAAAATAACTAGGTAAGTAAGGGGGAGAAGATGAATAAAAGAAAATAAATTGGAAGATGTGATCACACATCACACCTACAAGTAAAGCAAAAGCAAAGTCATGCCTATAGTTGTCATATTTAATTTAGGTAATTGTTTTCATTTAATTAAGTTGTCCATTAACCAATGTGGCACCTTTCATCAATACCAATTAATTAATTAATTATGTCATACTTGTTTCACCACTTCCATTCCTTCCAAAATAATATATTATGATGGATATTACACCAAAGATTATATAGTAGGTCTCTCATCTTTGTCAAAGGTAACAAGTTATAGCCATAAAAATGTGTTACATATGAACTATTTTTAAATCTATATTATTGTCAAATATGAAATAACAACACAATCTTAAATAGATTGGTAAGTAGAGGATCGGAATAGTTAATAACTATGATAAATTGTGAATATTTACAAATAAAGAGATCAATAATCGAAAAACCAAAAATGTTATTAACTCCTAGCCTGAAATTTAGGAGAATAAGATTGAAAAGGAGTAAACATTGAAAACATAAAATTATGAAAATTAGGAAGCAAAAACATGTACTCGCTTGCCCCATTTTATATGAAGTAGTTTAATTCGACACGAAGTTTAAAAAAGAAAGACAGACTTTAAAAATTTGTGGTCCAAAATGAACTATAGAAATTTATGTGACGGTAAATCATTTTATTAAGAATAAAATAGATATTTTACGGTTAAATTGTTACTTAATATAGAAACGTGTAATCTCACATAAATTGAATCAGACTAAAGAGTATTTTAGAAGGTGGAGGATTGATTGAGATGTGTTTTTAGGTTTTGAGGGGGAAAATAACATAAATAATGGGTAGGTTGTAGGGAATGGTGGAATTGGCAAGAAATAAAGCAAATGTAATTATTCATCGAAAATACTTTTGATCGGAATATTATTTTATTTATGTTATTTTACTTTTTCGGACATTTTTTTTAATTTTAATATTTTTTAATTAGAAAATAAAAAAAAATCAATTTAGTTTAAAATAAAAAATATCATATATTTTTTTAAATTTCTGCCAAGAAAAAAAGAAAGGAAAGGAAAGAGAAAAACCCTAGAGAATATGAAAAAGGAATTTGGAAGTGTGTGTTTAGGTCAAGAAAATATTGGATGGGTAATGGTTGGATTAGGATTAAAGTAATATAAATCACTCTCTTATTTATCCGTCTATTTTTACTTTTTCAGTATTAATCTCGTACACTTTTTAAAAAGTACTCCCATTTTGTTTCTAAAAAAATCAAATTTTTTTAGTCCGTTTTGAAAAATAATGACCCTTTTTCTTTTTTACGATACTTTAATTTCATTTTTCCAAATAACATTTTTATTTACAAAGATTAAAAGGTATTTTGATATATTTTATATAACTTTAATTTAAAATTACCAGATTAAAAAACCTTTTTTTTTAAATTCATGCCTAGTCAAATTAGGTATTTCTTTTCCTTTTTCTTTAATCAAAGAAAGTTTTAAAAGAGTAAATATTTAATCAAAGAAAGTTTTAAAAGAGTAAATATTGTAAATAAATAAAATTGAATCATGAAAAGAGCCTGGTTTCATGACAGTACTCTTGGAGATGATAATTTTTCAATTCTCAAATATATATGAGAATAGAAAAAAGAGGAAAATGATTATTAGAAAAATCTGTCAAATCTATATATTTTTTTTTGTTAAATGTACACTTCGAAAATGCATGATTCAGTCCCCAGTAAAATTAATTATGGTTTGTACTATGTAGTTGTTTTCCAATATACTAATTATAGTCGCTGTGTTTTCGAAAAATTAGTCAAAATTATTTATTATTTTTACTTCTCGAGAGGTCAATTATATAAATTTTGATTAATATTTTTTCTTTTTGAAACACTAAATTTCGAGTAATATTTTAAAATATTCTTTTAGTTAATTCGTAAGAGAAGAAATATAACACTTATATTTGTATACTTTTCAATATTAAAATAATAATTCTAAAATATAAATTTAATTTAAAACTTGAGAAGCAAAACATGTCGACTAATATGAAATAAAGATGGTTATTATTCAAAGAACCTGATGATTTTTTTTTTTGATATAATGTATAAACATGTTAGTTGTCCTCAAACTTTTAAACTGATATACAATTGAACAAGTAGACATATATATTCTACGTAGCATACTGTAGCTTAGTTTGAGTGTTTCACACATGAATTATAATATAAGATGTGTGTCTCATTGTTCAACTTTATACAAATTTAGATATCAATTTTACACATAAAAAGTTAAAAGATATTAATAGTAACTAATGCTAAATTAAAAAAAAAAAAACAGATTTAAGCATCAGGTCAAGAGAAATAAACCACTCCAACCAACAATTTAGGCAAAATAAGTATCACAGAGTTTTTTTGTTAATAAACAGAAAATGAGAGAGAAATTTTGGGTTAAGTCATGTGGATGGAAAAATATCTTATGTCATACCCATAATAAAAGCTTTTGAGATCGAGTCTTGAAATAAAAATACTTTATGAAATTTTTTTTTGTATTATATCATAAATCTAAATTAGTCAAGATTTTAAATCAGATAACGAACTTGCATCAAAAAGGGAAAAAAACTCCCATCACAAATCTACTTAATGCAAAATAAATAGGAACTCATTATGTGGTGTATATATATGTATGATGATATTAAAAAGTAGTTGAAATATTAATATTTAGCTTTAGTTGGTGATGGCTTCAACATATTTACAGTCAATATTCATAATCACAAGGTTTTGCTTTATATTAATTACGAAAAAGAAAAAAAATATTAATTAGAAAACAATAGAGGTTTCTAAGGGCCTCTAGAAGAAAAATAAAAACAAAAAAGAAAGTCGTCTAATATTTTAGAATTTGTAAGTTTCTTGACTCTCACGAGATTCATTATTTACTAAAGTAATTTCTCATTTAGCTTCTTTGTTTTTTATTTATCTAACTTTTTGAATATAATTATAATAAGAGTTAGAAATTTGTTTAACCAAACGTAGCAATAATTTCTAAATTTCACTATGTATCATTAATGTTATAAAATTCGTTCAATATCATACACTAATTTCTTTTTTCGAATATCGTTATATCTAGAAACGACTTATCGAATTATTAAATTATTATTGTGATTTTAAAATTATTATGTTATGCATTGTATCCATTGTTATCTTGTATTTAAATTATTGTGTTATGTATTGTATTTTTGAGTTAAAATTTTTGTCTTATTATTTATATTTTATGCATTCTTCATAGTGAAAATTAATATAACATCAAATTGTATCACAAAGTGAATATTTAAAATATTATTTATTCGAGATGAAAGTAGTATATATAAAATAAAATATTTTTTTTAAAAAAATATTATATTAAATTTAAAAAGAATTGCATATATTAGAGATTTAATTGATAATCTTATATAAACAAATAATATGTTAATTACAAAAAAAAAGTAAAAATAATAATATAATATTCAAAAAATGAAATAGAGAGTATGAATAGTAGTTATCCAAATTTTAGAAAACTATTATTCAACTCTATATAATCGAAGAGTTGAGAGTAATTGGAGAGAACATTCTCTATTTTACTCTACAAATATAGAAAACACAGAGTAATATAAATTACCATGGTCTAAGGTAGTAGTAGTTTTCCATTTGATTTTTTTTTTATGTTTTTTTTTTTTTGTGAAATGGACGAAGAGTCATCAATATTACAAAATTAGGACCATTATTTTGAACCGCTATAAGTGGCTAATACACGAGTTGAATTAATTGATTTTGAAGTGACATAAAGACATATCATATAATTACTTAAAAATTTATCAAAACATATATTTTCGATTTTCTCCTTCTTCAATTTTGTATCAAATTAAATATTCGAAAACTCTCCATAGATGGCCAATAGCCCAAAAACGTTACGTATATGCAATTATTTTATATTGAAAAATACACAAAAATTAGAAAGAAAAGATCATGGATATATACATCCATAAAAAAAGAGAGGCTAATTTTATGAAAGAATATAAGCAAATAAAGAATGATAATTGGTTGGTTATGCACTTGTATTGCGTGAACAATTGTTTACCACTAAGTTTTTATTTTTTATTATCGTAGCGTTTCCTCAATTTACGCACAATTTAACTAGTTATCACCTTTTATCAGTAAATGGTATCAAATAATTATATCAGTTAAAGCTAAAATGAAAAAAATAAAATTACCTAGTTCGTTTTATTACCCACTAAGCTACGTCATTGGGTGCCTAACTTAAGTATTAATATTAGGCCAATAATTTGAGTAATTATCTCTAAAGTCAATCAATTCGGCCTGCATGCATTTCTGACTTGACTTGGATTATTAGTTGTGGTATTTAATTTATTAGTCAATTAATCAAATAAAGCTTGCTATTCATTATCTCACCCTTAGTTAGATGTTAGATTTTTGGTCCTACAAAATAAACATGTATACAAGTAGATATATGCTTTGTGGGGGGGGGGGGTGCTAGACACATCTATATGGTCTTCAATATATATTAGTTGAATACTTTTAAAAAAAATATAGTTGTGCTTATTTTACATTTGTTTCCTACTAAATATGTTTGAAAATATACATAAATATTCAGTTGCATAAAAGGTGATCACAAAAAGCTTTAATCACATATAGCGCTTAGTTCTTATTATTAAATTATTTGTCGAGTAAAAGTTACGTTCATCTTTTTAAAATTTTATTGAAAATCATAATGTTCAGATCAACTAACACTTACTTGTATCAAAAAACACTGTACAACAACCACCTAATGAGATTTAATCAAATACTAGCAACACGTTATTTAACATCAATTACACCATTCATTACGTGGCAAAATAATTACAACTAATAAATACAAATAATGGTTAGTATTATTTTTTTTAAAAGAAAAGAACAAAACCAATAAACTCAAGCAAAAAGAAAAGAAAAATTGAATAAGAAAGGTATGTGTCATAAGAAAGAGACATAGCAAAAAGAAACAAATTATACAAGAGTTAGATAGGTGGATGGGTATATAATTGTGCACATAGACTTTATGATCACCCAAATGGTATGCTTGGTGCATGAATGAATAGAGATAGCTGTCATAGTAAAATGAGATGCCAGAGACGGAATCAAAAATTAAAGTTTATGAATTTTGAATATAAAAAAGTTTAGTCGAAATTATTGGATAGTCTAAACCCGTATCTAATATTGTAGCTCCGCTATGACAATGATGAGATAAGTATAAATTTGATTTAAAAATTTTGCCGTGCAATGCTGTAATGCTATGAAAAGATAGGCAACAAGAGGAAGAGGAGAAGACTAAGAGTACTAAAAACTAATAAAAGGAATCGTGGGACCAAAAACAAAGACAAATTTGTGTGATGCCATTATATGCACTTTCTTTCACATTTTCCTTACTCTTTTTTTCCCCCTTCTTTTACTTTATCATTAATTAAAGTTAAAATAACCTTCTTGGCTTTGGGGAAAATTAATCAAAATCCTTGTCATCTTTCTTCTTTTACCAAAAATACAAATAAGATTTACCATCTCTTTATTAGGTAGAAAAAAAATCACATATATATGTGTTGTGAGAGCTATAAGCATTGAGAAAATTCAAATTATAAAAGAATAAAAATATCATGAAGTGAAGACAAAAACATCTATATCTCGCTAAGATAGATAGATCTAGAGAACTGAATTACCTTACGACTTCAATTCAATAAGAAAAACTTCTCCTTTATTGAATAGTAGTACGAGACCTAGCTCAAGCTAGAGCCATAAGTGTTGACAAAAGATTCACACATAAGTGGTGGCTTCTTTTAGTTTGCAATGCCGGCTATTTGCCTTTTTGATTAAACGTAGAAGTAGAGGTACTTTTATTTTGACGATAGTACTTAAAATGGATCATAGCCATAAATTTTTATCAAAAGGTAGCCTACAAGATGTACAATTCTAATGCACCTAGATGGTTTTGAATTATAATTAGTCAACCAATTCAACTAACACACGACACATATAAAGAATAACGTAAATGCAAGTGAGTTTTGCATTACGAGGACATCAAAATAATTGTTTATCTCATTTCATTTTCTTCCACCTCAATATATTCGTTTGATGGATGGATGGGAAGGTCTGACAATTCATGAGAGTCGTGTAAGTTGGGGATTTTCCTTAATGAATACGTAGTACTCTGAGTCAGCACAAAAGATGCACAAAAATACGAATAAAATGAGTTTAGGCTAGGGAATTACTTATGCATTTTCCCGTATAATGTATTTACTCTTTAATTGTTGTTTTCGTCAATGGTGTTATGGCTCAATTGATGGAAAGGACAATTCCAAGAGAAAGAATGGGCTGGCATTATGCCTTCACGAATGAAAGCACACAAGATGGACATATTTATAATTTTTTTTTTATGGTTGACAGAAAAAAAAGATGCTACCATTTTTAATTTATTTTTTTTGGTCTATATGGGAGAAATTTAATTTAATTAGGATGTATGGTGGAGTAGAGGGACTACTTTTTTGTTTTGGCTCAACCATAAAAATGATTATTATTTTTTTTCAAATAGTTATCAACCTAATTGTTAGGTAAATTTCAGTTAATCAGGTTTACCACATGACTATGTTAAATTAGACTTGTTAATTAGAGAGTCAAGATTCCAGAATGCAAAATAAAAGGGAGAAAAGTTATATTCATAGCATAACCCCATCTTTTTCTAATTCCTTGTAAATTAAATCTATGAATAATAATAATTAAAAAGGTTCAGGTTTCTTGAAGTTTCTATATTTCTCACCTGCTCATAGGCTAAATAATAGGAAAAAGATAATAATAGGTGAGTGAATTTGACAGATGCATTTGAAGTGTTTTTTTTTTTTTTGGGTATAACATTAACTTTGAGAGAAGAAGAAGCTAACTCAGCCAACAAACATAGCAATTAGGTTGGAAGTATTCTTATTTGTAAGAAAAGGAATGTGATGAATACTAGCTGTTTGAATCTTCAAAACCAAGTAAAATTCAACATATCTTATTATTATCATTATTATTTTTTTAAAAAAGAAAAACTATATTATTTTTCCCACCTAGTGTTAGATCCATGTTGAAGTCCAATTAAAATTAAATTCACGTTCAGGAGTTCCAAATAAGGGGTTAAAGCGCTCCCTCACATTCAGAGGGACTTAAGCTCAACACCTATGATTAAGAATAAATGATTATTTACCATTTTATTATAAACGTTATTGGTAAAATAAAAAACTAGTTTGATGTGTGTGTACACATCTCATCCATCCGACTCCACTTCAAAAAAAAATAATAATAAAACTTTGGAACAAGCTCAAACAGCAATATCTAATTTCAAGAATCATAATTTTTTCAGGACCCACTAAGCAAATAAATCAATTTTTTTAAAAAAAGAGAAGAAAACTATTTCACAATGAAGGTGACCTAGGCTTTAACAACTAGATGGGCATCTTGTATTAGGCAACCACAACAAAATATAATTATTAGAACAAGAAACCAATCTCCTTTCTCTATGTATACAGGGACAGGTTTGTCTCACACTTTAAATAGTGCTCCATTTACCAAGAATTATAGACTATATAATATATATATATATATCATAATACAATTTCAACCCCTCCATTACCTTTTTTAAAAATTAATTAAATCTACTTTTTTTTTAAAAAAAAAGAGTTATATGAGGGATAGGTGGGCAGCATGGGCCATATAGAAACAATTCCAGCGGCAGCGGTAACGGCAGAGACCTTCTGCACGCCCAACAACAATATCAACCCCAACTCCAAGACTATCCCCACATCTACCTTATTGATGATTCTCCTTCTCTTTCTCTATACTCAATAAATATATATACACAAAAACTTTACGTATATGTGGGGTGTGTGGATAATACCAATATAAACAAATTGAATGAAAAATTCAATGAATAATAAATAAGAGTTGATAAGAAACACAAGAGTTGAGAAAGAGCCAAACCAAAGCTAAAGCCACGGCAAAAGAAGAAGAACAAAGCAAAGGAAAAAGAAAACTAAGAACCAGAATAAGACGGGCTACCCCTCTCTTTCTTTCTTGGACTGATTCTATCTTTTCTCTCTCTCTCTCTCTGTTATATGCTTTCAAAAGCATTTTTTAGCAAACCAAAGAAGCAAGCATAAGGAAGAAACAAACAGAACAAAGAAAAGTGAGTGAAGGCAGAGAAAATTATGTGTTGTTCTTGGAAAATGGCTTAAAAAGATTCATTTCACTCTTTAACCTCACTCACTCTTTGAAAAAAAGCTTCTTTCTTTACCTTGTCCTCATCCTTTACATTTCTTTGGTATTTTCTTGAAGGGTGTAACTGAAGAGTCTGCCTTGGTTTAGGGCATCTTCTTCTCTATTCATGCTGTTTATGTGTTAGCCTTTATTCAGAGAGAACCCCCACCCACCTACCAATCACACATCTCTTCATTACCATCTTCCAACTTAGAATCCATTTTCTTTTATATATATACACATCTATCAATCTACCTTTCCTTTCTTAATTCTGATCATAGAAATGGCTGTTCAAGCTCAATACCCATCAAATGTTCTCTTTCTAAACAGGTCTGCATTCAACACCCTCTATAATCTCTTTTCTTTTTCTTGTCTAAGTAACTTTAATTGGATTTTCCTTTGATTCTTGATTGCAGAAATGTACAAGAAGGAAAAACCCCACTTGGAAATGATTATTCATTGCAATCTCAACCTGGTGGTGGCGCTGGATCTTTTCTTGATCAAACACAAATGTTATTCAATCCAGGAGGTAGGAATTCATAGTTAAATATGATTCAAATTCAATCCCAAATTCAAAAAAACTCCAAGTTTTATTAGTTTTTCTTCTTCTTTTATTATCAATCTTGAATTGAACATACAAATTACAATCTCATGAATACATATACGGAAAAGGAATCTAATATTGTTTTTTTTTTCTTTTTGCGATTATAGTTGGGGCAAATTCAAGGAAGAGAGGAAGAGAACTTACAAGTACAACGGCAGCAATGAATCCATTGATGTCAATGCAATCTCAGCCTCAACCGCAACTCATTGACCTCACTCAACTTCATACATCGCCTACTTCTCAGCAACAGCCACACAACCTTGTCTCCACCGGACTCCGTTTAGCTTTCGGAGACCAACATCAACACCAACACCAACAACATCAATTACAGCAGCAACAACAACAACAACAACATCACCACCATCACTCTCTTTCTCCTCAATCCTCTCAATCATCAGCTTTCTATTCAATATTAACAGAAGACTTAGCTACTCATATCAAACAACAACGCGATGAAATCGATCATCTCCTCCTAATTCAGGTACTATTTTTGTTCAAAATTTTACTATACAATCAATAACAAAAGTTTGTTTAAGTTACAAACTAATTCAAATTGACATATATCGACTTCGCTGCAATCATATCAAAATGTATCACGAGAACTCTCATCTCTTTGATCGGAGTTCGGAATCAACAATGTGAGAAACTCAAATAGATATATTTTTTTTCCCGCAAAATTTACTATGCTTTTTGAATTTGTTCACGGAGAATGAAATTTTCTGATTTTTGCTATTCAATAGGGAGAGCAATTGAGGCGTACATTAGCAGAGAAAAGGCAACGTCACTACCGTGCACTGATCGGAGCAGCAGAGGAATCAATGGCACGAAGACTAAGAGAAAAAGAAGCAGAGATGGAGAAAGCAGCTCGGCGAAACGCTGAATTAGAGGCGCGTGTAGCGCAATTAAGCGCAGAGGCACAGGCTTGGCAAGCTAGAGCAAGAGCACAGGAAGTAACGGCAGCGACACTTCAAGCTCAGCTGCAACACGCGATGATCAACGGTGGAGGTTGTAATGAGATAAACGACGGTAACGGCGGCGAACCGGAGGATGCTGAATCGGCGTACATTGACCCGGACAGAGTTGTTGAGTCAACCGGCGGTCCTAGTTGCAAAGCGTGTAGAAAACGAGTTGCCTCAGTGGTAGTACTGCCGTGTCGCCACTTGTGTATGTGTACAGAATGTGATGCTGTTGCTCAAGCTTGCCCGTTGTGTTTCGCCATTAGAAGTTCAAGTGTTGAGGTTTTTCTCTGTTAGAAAAAGCCCAAATCAAGGCCCACTTTGTTTTTTGGCCCAAACCCAAGCCCAAGTAATGCACTTAGAACTTTTCAAATTAATGTTCTAATGGTAAAAACAAAAAAAGGAGTTTAATTTTGAAAAAAAAAAGAAAAACAGTAAACATAAATGAAGAAAACATGAAACAAAAATAATATTTCATTTAATAACTATATATATTCCTTTTTCCAGATTTTTTTTCTCTTGGGTTTATTCTTTTATTTTTTGCAACAATTTGAGGATCAAAAATCTTCCTTTTTTTTTTTAAACACAGTTTGAAATTTAATTCATTTGTATATATTCGTTTTATTCTTTTATTTACCGCCCTGTGACATCATATATCAATTTTCATCATTTTTTTTTCTTTGTGATGAAAAATTACTGGTATAAATTATTCATGAAAAAAATCCCAGGTACATATAATTTATTTTTACCATATAAGGGACAGTATTTCTTACTTAAAAACTATTAAGTTCAAAAGATTTGGTGTTTAAATATATAGTTGAGCTTTAAAATGCTATAAAGTTGAACTATTAGATACATGTGTTCAAATGACAATGACAAATAGTATAATATGCATCTGTTCTACATGGCAAACCATGTAGGACACATTTATTAGTACATGCATGTCCTATGTAGTAAATTATGCGAGTTTTATTAGGTAAGACGTATGCATTAACTTGTTTAAATTTATGATATTTGAAGTGTTGAATTACTAAACCATAACAAAAATATATAAATATCAGTTGATACCAAGTTAAATAACATGTTTAATGTATTATATACTTCAACCTTTTTATTTACATGACATGCCAAAAGAATATTATATTATTATACGAAAGTTTAATGTGCCAAAAAGTAATAATAATAATAATAATAATAAAGGCATAATTAGGAGATTTTTCTTTTTTAGGTAAGGTCGGATTTTCAAATTTTAAGTGGACTGTTTCCTTTTTATGTTTAACCTAATGTTATAATATTATGCAAATGATTCAGTCAACTAATTATAATGACAACTAAATTAATTAGGGATATGATTGGGGTAGAGGAGATTCATTCATTTTACAGGGTTAAAAATATTCTTAAACTATCTGAAATAACTTATATATATCCTTAAATTATATTTTGGCTCAAAATTATCTTTCACGTCAAACTATTGGGTCAAAATTATCCTTCTAATTAACGAAAATTGTTAAATGCCATGTGGATGCCATATGAATGCCACATGACATCCCAATAGATTTCCACTGCTACATAGAATAAAAGGAAAAGGGTTAAAAGTACCCTTAAACTATCCGAAATAGCTCATATTAACCCTTAAACTATAGTTCGACTCAAAACTATCCCTCCCGTCAAACTATAGGATCAAAAGTGACCTTCTTATTAGCGGAAGTTGTTAAATTCCACATGTGTCACATTGACTAAATTCCTAAATCTTAATTACTCATTTTCCCCTCATTTCATTATTTTTATAAACGATTTCACCCCTTCTCCCTCATTTCGCGGCTAAGGTTTCATAGTTTTCTTCGTCACTGGGTTTCAAAGTGGATATTCATGGTTATAGGTTAGTAAACTCTTCTGATTTTATTGTGTTTACAACCACGAAAATCCACTTTGAAATTCATCACTGAAGAAAGTTATGAAACCTTGGTCGCAAAATGACGAGAAAGTTGTGAAATTCTATCTATCAGACTTTGAAATCGTAATTGTAATAAAATAAGAAAAAATATTTACTAACCTATAACCATGAATATCCACTTCGAAAATCAGCCCCCAAGAAAGCTATGAAGCCTTAGTTGCGAAATTAGGGGAAAATTGTGAAATCCTAACTATCATCCTTTGAAATCGTAAACATAATAAAATAAGAAAAAAAAATTACTAACCTACAAGTATGATATCCACTTTGAAACTCAACCACGAAGAAAAGTATGAAAACCTATCAGCGAAATGATGGAGAACAGGTGAATATATCATTTTTGAAATAATTAAATGAGGGGAGAAGTAATTAGAATTTAGGGATTTAGTCTATGTGGCAGTAAAACCTTATTGGCATGCAATGTGACATTCACATGTCATTTAACAACTTCTGTTAATAAGAAGGGTACTTTTGATCCAATAGTTTGACGGGAAGGGTAGTTTTGAGCTGAAATATAGTTTAAGTGTATATATGAGCTATTTTGAATAGTTTAAGGGTATTTTTGACCCTTTGTATTTAGTCTACGTGGCAGTGGAATCCTATTGGCATACAATGTGGCATCCATGTGGCATTTAACAGCTTCCGTTAATAAGAAGGGTATTTTACCCAATAGTATGACGGGAAGGATAGTTTTGAGCCGAAATAAAGTTTAATGATATATTTGAGCTATTTCGAATAGTTTAGATTATTTTTAAGCCTTTTTC